GATTTATACCATTGTTCATTCTTAGTTCCCTAAATGTAAAAAATACCCACAGAATGGTAGCATACCTCTAAATTGGTTTAAATATGGCACCAAGTTATTTTTAGTTGGCTTCGAGCTTTAAAAAGGGACTTATCATTCTTTTCAAAGGCTAATCTACTCAAGTTGCTCCCATGTTAAAAAAAAAAGATAAATAAAAGGACAATTTATCTGTTTTGAAAATTAGAAATGTTATTTATGCACTGCTCAACAAAATGTTAGGATAGTTCTCACGTCAAACCAAGGTCAGAATCGTGCCTATTGTTTATAAGAATACAGTCTTTTCAAACACTAGCATGGTTAAAAGTTATTTGTGTGTATTTAAATAGAATTCTTATCAAAACATTAAAATTATTTTTAAAAACTCATCCTAGCCTATACAGAGTAAAAAAGAAAACTCAGATGATTAGAAATTGTTCCTTGTTTGTGAAAAAAAATACAAGAAATATTCACATCACATTCATTTGAAATCTGGATTCCCTCCTTACACGCTAGAAAGATGCAAACGAAGCCCAACACTTCCAAATATCCAGACAGATCGTCCACAGTTGTAACTTTCATCACACTTCTCAAAGCAGTGCGGTGAGGTCAGCGCACAAACAGCTTAAGCAGCAAAACTAGAAATTGGTGGTAGTAGTATCAGGCTACATAACAGCCTCTCCAAAGAATATGAAGTAAGAGAACGAAAATGTGCTGGCACCGTCCCAGAAGACGGACAGATACAGCTTTGAACAATGAAGTTCAGAGCTTACAGTGGAGAGCAATTCATCTTCCCTGACCCTGCAGCTTGACTTTCTTTACTTTAACCCCGAAATAGCCACATATAAGTTATTCAACACTACCAACCTTCTCTCTAAATATAAGCTGAAGGGCATGTGGGCTTGCAAAGGTCTGTTTAAATACACACATACCCTGAAAAGGAAAATCTGTCTTCCATCTATGTGAAAATGAAGAAAGTCAGACACAATTATACTGTATAAAACAGTCTTTGTTACCCAAGAATTGCACCTACAGCATAATTCTAAAGGTTTGGGGATTTCTTTGTTGTCAGTTTTGACACTCTGAAACTGCCTGGCATTAAAAATTAGTCAACTTTCTCAATAGAAGTAATCCTAGCAGGTTAAGCAAGGCAGATCAAGCAATTTTGCTAAGAAACAAGTCCTCTGACTTTCGTCATGGTTACTTTGCTTATTAGTTTTGGGCTGGAATCACTGTGTAAGCAGGCAAGCCTGGAACTCCCGTTGTAGCTCACATTGGCCAGAAACTCAATAATCCTGCTCAGCCTCCCAAGGACTGGGATTTAAGGCATTCACCACCACACAAGGCTTCACATACTACTTTTATAATTTCATCTTGACCAAATCATATGTTAAAATAGGATTATAAACTCTAATTCTTGAACTTCTGACACTTTCTAAGCATAACTTTTCTCTAAAGAATCAAGAAACTAGGCATGGCAGTGCAGGCCTGTAATCCTAGCACTTAGGAGGTAAGGGCAAGAGTTCAAGACCACCCTTGTTACACATAATTTAAGGCCAACCTGGGCTATCTAAGACGCTATGTCAAACAAACAAACAAACAAACAAACAAACAAACAAAATGCAGTTATCTTAGGTTGAAAAACAACCAAATTCAATTCAAATCAATATATACTTATTTAACACGTACTTTGTGCCAAACATTATTCTGAGAATGGTGGAACCCAAGGTAATATATGTACACCACCATCTCAAGAGAGTCGATCTCATTGGGGAAATCACATGTGCTCAACGGACAGTTAAAATAAAAGCCTTGGTATTGCTGAAAGAAAGAATGGGCAAATCCGGACAAGTTTCAAAGACATCACGAGATCCGAGTCACATATTGAGCTCCTTTCACAAAGGAATACTGAAGGCCATAAACAGAATAAGCAAAGGTTAAAAAAAAAAAAGGCACAAAAACACGACATGAAGGGGGAAAAAACCCACATAACAAGGGTACAAATGCTGGTGCACGTGCTAGTGCTCTCCTCCCCCCACTCCACGACAGACACCACCAGTCAACCAGAGCACACTTAAAAACCACACGGAAACACAAAAAGCAGGACCATGAGGTGAAGTGTCTAGGAACAGGAAGTAGTAGGACTTGAGGCTAGATGGGCCACTTAAAAACCGGTTATATGACCATGAATGTGAGGCTGACAAGCTTCGGCTCTCTCCTACAGTGACAGAGGATAAACAAAAGGTTCTGTGAGGGATGATCGTTCCATCACTGTGAGGAACGGCTGTGAGCAGACAGGGGTGCAGAAAGAACAAGTGGAGACACTGCAGGGTTGGCTGCCCATAATCGCACTCTCGGGAGGTGAGGGCAGGTGACAGGAACTACCTTGGCTACAACAAAAAATTCAGGCTAGTCAGGGCTACAGGAGACCCTATGATACAGCACCTGTCTAGCAGGTGTGAGGCCCCCAGTTCAATATGCTGAACAAAACAAACAAACAAACAAACAAACAAACAGTAATTGTGGGTCACAAGAAAAGCGGAAAAATCTACAATTGCCTCTACCACAAAAGCAGAGTTTTAGATTTTAAAATCATTTCTAAACAAAAATTGGGGTAAACTCATGTAGTTAGAATTCTCAAACAGCATTCAAAAACGAAGGCAAAGGATGGAACTGAAGAAATGAATAACAATGTTAGACTCAAGATTTCTCAAGACCATAAATTCAGAAGTCTACGGTATTCCAGGATTGGCATCGAGAAAGGGAACATCCTCATGACCAGACTGGCACTCAGCAAGTCTCTCCTGCCCTGAGGCTCCAATACTCTGGCCAAATGGCAGATGCTGTTACCTCACATGCCCTACGACACAGGGCAGACTCAGGCTGCATGAAGTGCAGAACTCGAAGAAGCTTGTTTTAAAACCAAGGCTCGTCCAAAACTCTAAAAGTGCACACTACTCTTAAGAAACAGTTTATATGAAATAATACCATTCTACCATTAACTACTTATATGTAAGTAAGTAAAATTCTATTATTCTTTGCATAAAATGCAACCTATCTGCAGAATTTTGGACAGAATAAAAAAGAAAGTAACACCTATCACGTATGCAGAATGTTTAGTAAATGATATTATTCTAATTAGATATGAAAACTTCAGGGCTGGGCATGCAGCTTAGTGGCTGAGGACTTGTCTGGCATGCACAAAGCCCTAGTTTTGACCCTCAGAATCAAACATAAAACAATTAAAATTTAATAGAAGTTTTTTTAAATTGAAAACATTAATTCCAACGCAGCACATCTCAGTAACCCTAGCACTTGGAAAATACACTATTAGAAGCTAGCAAGAAGCTAGCCTGGGCTTCGTGAGACCCTGTCTCAAAAAAACAACAAAATGCTGGGCATGGGGGTACATGCATAATCCCAGCACTCAGGAGGCAGGGGCAGATGGTTCCCTGTGAGTTCAAGGCCAGTGTGGTGTACATAGTGAGTTCCAGGCTAGTCAAGGCTCCACAGCTCCATAGAGAGACTATTAAAATGAAAAAAATTCTTTGGCTGTTATAAATAAAGGCTAAAGTAATAATATAAAATCCAAGGATATTAATAGGCTAGCATAACTGTTTTAAGACCTAAGTATATTCAAATTGAGGGATTAAATTGCCCTCCAGTGAATGCCAACAATGTATTTCACACTACACAGACACACAATCAAGAATTCTGTACCATTAACAACCTCACAGATTGGAGCCAATACTGAACACCTGTAATCTCAGTACTTGGTGACATGGAGGCAGGAGGATCAGGAGTTCAGTCACCTCAATTAGTTTGAGGCCAGACTGAGCAAGAGTGAGACGTTCTCAAAAATAAAAGCAAAAGCAAACAAACAAAAACTCACAAAAGGGACTCTCATTCTCTTAAAATAAGACAAAATGAAAAACATGAACATAAAAGAAAATGTATGTGGTTCATTTGAGAAAGCAAATCCAACATTTATCATCACTTCTCTTTTAGCAGAAAGAATGAATTAGTCACGGGAAGGGTCACCTTGTCATGATGTCATTCTAAAGTTATTACAGAATTTTACACACTTGCTTGCTCCCAGGCAATCACAAAGAAGTCATCCTGAGACCAAGGTCAAATTCCATTCTAAAGATTCCCAAACTTAAAGTAGAGGTCCGTAAGAACATAATATCCAAAGGCCAAACACAGGACCCCCCCCCCCCTCCCCACTTAAAAAAAAAATCACGTCTTCCCCTTTAGCTAACTACAATGGAATGTGACCCATACACAAGAGCTTTCCCATTCTTCATTTCTCAGAAAATATAAAGCAGACTTAATCTCTCTCATAAGGAGAATGTTTCTGATAGAAAAAATTGTAACAGTGGTTAATTATATTAACAACCTAAGCCTTTTCCCTCCTCAGAGGCCCACTCACTGTCGCAGGAGTGGTGCTTTTCCTTTCTCAGCAAACTGTCTCTACTTCCATTCATTAAAATAATTTTAAATAAATTGATAATCAGTTAAATAGTTGATAATCAGTACGAAGGGTAAATTAGTGGGCACCTGCACTCACTTGGCGCAGACCAACGCACAGACACACTGTACATACATAATTAATAAAAATAAAATTTCAAAAGGGGAGGGGCTGGAGTGATGGCCCAGCAGGGAAGAGTTCCAGCTGCTCTCGCAGAGGACCCAGGTTCAGTTCCCAGCACCCACATCAAGAGACTCATAAACACCTACAACTCCAGTTCCTACGGAATCCGATACCTCCATGGGCATGGGAGGCAGAGGCAGGGGGATCTCTGTGAGTCCAAGGCCAGCCTGCTCTATAGAGTGGGATCCAGGATGGCCAGGAATATACAGAGAAACTTTGTCTTGAGGGGAAAAAAAAGAAAGCTTTTGTAAGTTTTAAAATAAATAATTCCACCAATTAATTCACACGAGGCTATTGCAGGCAAACGCCGCTCCAGCTGCATTTTACTTACATTCTTCCTACGCCTTCATACATGTTAGTCTCATCTACCAGCGTCATGATCTCTGTGTCTGTAAGGTGTGCGTGCTTTTTCGTTCTGTTTAGCTGTTCAATCTGTATGTCTGCAAGCTTCACCTTCTGTTGAGTATCAATAACTTTGGCTTGAAGCTCTGTGAAGGCCTAAGAAAAACAAGTCTTTGATTTAAAAAGGAAACATCTAAGTCAAATTCAGATTTATTAAAACAGAACATACTAACCAAAGCTGTGAAATTTACCAAAATCAGAACAGAATTCTAATACTATGCTAAATTCTAAATGTACCCTATTCATAGATGACATGATCACTATGAACAAAAGTCCATTAAATAATACCTGTATTTCAAATAACCAAAGAGTAATAAAAGGAATAAATAAAATACTCAGGGGATAAAACTCAGAGATCCAAAGCAAAAATTGTAAAAAAAAAAACAACAACAACAAAAAAAAACAACTCACTACATCTGTATTACACAACTAGAATTCAGAGCACTTCACATTATTTCAAAATCCTGGCTGGAGACCCAGACCTGGTGTCTCATGCCTGTAATCCTAACAACTGGGAGGCGGAAGCAGAGGATCGGGAGTACTTTAGGACTCAGACACATAAGATATTCAAGGCCAGCCTGGGCTATAAGACACCTTGTCTTAAAAAAGAATTGTTTTTCAGGGCCAGTGAGATTGGCTCAGCAGATAAAGGCACTTGACATCAAGCATGATTACCTAAATTTGATCCCTGGGAGCTGCATGGTAAGAGAGAACTAACTCCCTCAAGCTGTCCCCTGACCTCCACTTTGGCATGCAGTATCAGCACTCACACTCGAGCATACACACACACACACACACACACACACACACAATGTAATTTTTAAAAGATTAAGATAGACAGACAGACAGACAGACAGAGATCTATGAGATGGCTCAGTAGGTAAAGGTTCTTACTACCAAGCCTAACAACCTGAGTTCCATCCCTGGAACCTGAACCCACAAGATAAAAGGAGACCGACACATACTCTGACCACACACTAGCATCATGGCATGTGTGTGTCCACACTCACACACATCTGAGATTCACATGTCAGGGATAGAGGTGGACACTTTTAATCCCAGCACTAAGGGGGAAGATGCAGGAGGATCTCTTGTGATTGCAAGAACAGCCTGGTCTACACAGTGAGTTCCAGCTAGCCAGGGGCTTAAAAGGGGGAGGGGGGGCTAAGATTTACAGCATGAGAGAATGCTGTATAAGATTAAGTTTACATGTGTCAAGTTAAGAATGGCAAAGAGCAAGACACACATACTTAGCATCCCCAGAACAATAACAAATGGCTTCTTTTATTAGGAACAACAGCTATTTCAGCTGTCCTATTGCTTAGACAAAGGTTAACCAGAGGCAGCTACTTAAGATGTTACTGGGAGCTAGGGAAACGTTCAGTCAGCTGACGTAAGGTTCACTCCCCAGGACCCACAAAGAAAGTTGAGTTTGGGAGCTGGAGGGATGGCTCAGGGGTTAAGAGCACTTGATATTCTTGCAGAGAACCCAGGTTTGGTTCCCAGCACCCACACAGCAGCTCACAACTACCTGTAACTACAGTTTCAGGGGGATCCAAGGCCCTTTTCTAGCCTAAGGGGGCTGTACACATATGTTATATTCAGACATTCATGCAAGCAAGACACCCACATACATAAAAATACAACTTGTCCTTGTTGAATGCTAGGCATGGAGGCAGAGAAAAAAAGGGATCCTTGAAGCTCGCTAGCCAGACAATCTAGTCAAAGTGGCACTCCCTGGGTCCCAGTGAGTGGCCTTATCTCAAAATACAAGATGAACCGTCCCTGCCTTGAATGCAGGAATCCCTAGCATTGGGGAAACTGGGTGTAGTGGTGAATGCCAGCTACACAGTCAAGTGCCAGGCCAGCCCAGGCTACGTGAGACCTTGTCTCTGAGGGAAAACAAAACCAAACCAGAATCTGGGCCAGTGAGATGGCACCTCTTGCCTAAAAGGCCTGATGACCAGAGTTCAAGTCCCAGGTACCACTTGAACCAACTCCCAAAAGTTCTTCTCTGACCTCCCCTAAGCAGCTTGAAGGTGTGTCTACACACACACACACACACACACACACAAATATACAACTTTTAAAATATGCTGCTCACCTACAGAACCTATTTATTATTGCGTGTTTGAGTATGGGCCAGTGTGCTGGGGTGTGCCTCTGAGACATTATAGTACAACTTCGAGCAGTTCCCTCCTTCCACCTTGGGTTCCAGGGACAGAACTTAAACAGCCAGGCTACCTGGCAAGTGCCTTCATGCACTGACCCATCTTGCTGCCTGGGGCTCAATCTTTTAAGACTTTTCTTGCCAGTGACCCTAGCACAGGTCTGCTATCCTAATAGTCTGGAGGGAGCAGCACTAAAGAGCATTGGGAGTTCAGGGCCTGACCAAACAAAACAAAACAAACAAACCACATACCAAAAAAACACTAGAAATTTACCTTTCTAGAAAAGCAGATTTAAATTGAATGAATTCTAGGGTGCTTTCTAATTATAGCCATCTCTCCACAAAGAAAGCATAGTCTGAGATCTTGGTAGTGTTAGGGTCCTAAGATTAAGTGGCAAAAATGTTTCCTATTAACAACCCATTTTATAAACCAGCATTTGACTCAAGACTATAATTCCAGAACTCAAGAGGCTGAGGAAGGAAGACTGCCTGTAGTTGCAAGCCAGCCTGGCTACACAGTCTTTAAAAAAAAAAACCAAAAAAAAAAAACAGGGCTGGAGAGATGGCTCAGTGGTTAAAAGCACGGACTGCTCTTGCAGGGGACCAGGGTTCAATTCCCAGCACCCATATGGCAGCTCACAACTGCCTGCAACTCCAAGACAGGATCTGACACTCTCACATAGACATGCAGGCAAAATACCAATGCACATAAAATAAAAATAAATAAATTACAAAAAAAAAAGGAAAATAACAACAAAAAACCATTTATAAGCAACAGATTGAACAAAAAGAAAAATCCTCTGACTGCTCATTTGGAAATCCTTACTGGAGCCTTACTGGATACTGGATTTTGGGGAGGCGGGGTGGGAAATTCTTTAAAAAGGAGATGGGTGTAGAAACAAGGACCTTTCAAGGCGGTGGTACAGAATAAATGACCTAAAAGCCAAGGTGAACGTGGAGTTTTTCAAGTCGACTCCAGCAAGCACTTTGAAGGGCATCTATCTGGATGAGACGCTGTCTTCAGTTCTTGCTTTGAAATTGGGTCCCTGACGGCTCCAAAACGCAGAGAGAAGGAGGACACTGCAGCCCACTCACCCACCGCCCTAAGCAGCTCCTGCCAGCGAGAGCCCCCGGGGATCCCGGTCCCGCCGAAGCAGGGCGGCCCGTCTCAGGACTCCGGGAAGCCAGGCCCCGGCCCTACAGTCTCTTTCCTTCAGCGAGACTCGATCCCCACCTCTCTATTCTGGTCCCCACTCGCTCCGTCATTCAGACAGTAGGCTCTGTCTGCTCAAAAGCCCCCGTTACCTTCTTCAGCTCCAGGTCCACGGGGGCCGCCATATTGGAGCACTCTACGCGCCTGCGTCAGATGCAAGCCGGAAAGGGGTGGGGGAAGGGCGCGTTCGGGTTTACTTGCGAGGCTTCCTTCTGCGCCTGCGCATATATCAAACTCTGCCCCAGATTTCTCACTCGGTATATCTCATCTACCCCACTCCGGCACTCGGCCGTGAGACAAGTGGCTCAAAACATTTGGGAATTCCGATAAAATCTGATAAACGTGTAACCGCTCAGGTGTGGCTCTTAGTTATCTTCCACACACAATTAGACAGCCTGGAGTAGTTACCCAGAAAGAACTTAATTCTGCTAAAGCCTCTTCAAAGATCTTCTAGACATAGTGCTTTTCAAAACAAGCCGCATATGATTGTTGAAATCAGATTCCTGGCTGGGGGTGTAGTTCAATTGGCAGAGTACTTACCTAGCACACTTGAAACTCTGGGATTGATCCACAGCACCGCACAAAATCGGTGTGATAGTGCATGCCTGTGACCCAAATGCTAGATAGGTGGAGGCAGCAGAATCAGAAGTTCAAGATCCAGTCAGCAAGATGGCCCAGGGAATAAAGGTGCTTGTCCCCCACGCCTCACTACATGAGTTCAATCTCAAGAATCCAAGTGGTGCAGAGAACTGATTTGTTATCCTCTGACTTATGCACACACACATACAATAAATAAATGCAAAGTTTAAATTACAATTAGGAACTGGAGAGATGGGTCAGAGCATGTACTCCTCTTCCAGAGGACCAGAGTTTGACTCCCCGCACCCGCGTCAGACGGCTCACAGCGAGCTATATACCTCCAGCTGCAGGAGAGTCCAACACCTCTAGCCTCTCTGCAGGCACCTGTGTTTATATGCTCACATACATGCACACATGAATACATAATTAAAAATAATAAGAATATATCTTTTTAAAAATTAAAAAAGTTCAAGTTATCCTCAGCAGCATAGAGAGTTGAGGGGTCAGCTTGGGCTACAGGAGACTTGTCTCAAAAAACAAAAACTGGAAAACTAAAAAATAATAGATGAGGGTCAAGCATGTTGGCCTATGCTGTGATCCAGCACTAGGGAAACTGAGGCAAAAGAATCACCGTGAATTTACAGGCAGTCTGCTCATGATTCCAGGCTATTTGTACAGGGATAGCAAGCCAGGAAAGAGAGAGGGCAGGGTACCAACTGGGATCTTATACAGAGGTACATTTTGGCTTTGTTTCTGTCTTTCTCTCGTTCCTGCTTGACACACCATTTTATATAAGGACTTAAGTAATTCTAGAGAATACACAGCCAGTGTGTGACTAGAAGTATGCTGAAGCATCCATGTCTCTCAAACTCTGCTTTACACTTGGTACCTTCCCATCTCTCTCAGCTAGACTGGCTTTCTATAATTCACTTCACCAATTGTCTCTTCAACTGTCTCATTTATCATTTCACTCATCCATTGAGTTTTTACTTCAATAACTATACACTTCAATTTTTTACTTAGTTTTGACTTTGCCTTTTTTGTTTGTTTTTGTTTTTGTTTTTGAGACAGGGTTTCTTTGTGCAACAGCCCTGGCTGTCCTGGAACTCACATTGTAGAACAGGCTGGCCTCAAACTCACAGAGACCTGCCTGCCTCTGCCTCCCGAATGCTGGGATTAAAGGTATGAGCCATCACTGCCCAGCGATTTTGCTCTTTTGAGGACAGAATTTTACTCTGTAGCCCATGCTAGCCTTGAGCTAATCCTCCTGCTTCAGCCTCCCAAATACCGGCATAATAGGTGTGCACCACCAAGTCCTGTTAAACTGCAGTTTCAAAAATTCTACTTAGGCCAGTCTGGAGTACAAAATTAAATTCTGCCTCAAAAAAAAAAAAAAAAAAAAAGAAAAAGAAAAAGAAAAATAATTCCACTTGGTCATTTTTAAATCCACCTGCTCTTTTCCATAATTTCATGATGTTACTTGATATTGAGTGCAATTACAGCATACTCAATGTAAGTACTGTAGACTTTCTTTACAATGCCCTGAGCCCGAGGTTTTCTGGATGTGACTTCTTTTATTGAGGATATCTGCTGAATCTCTCTTGTGATGGTTTGATTCCAGCACTGGAGAGACAGATCTGCCTAGATCTCTGTCTAGACCAGCCAGGACTATATAGTCTAAAAATAAGAACGAAAGAAACATCTTTGTGAATGGCTTCCTCTTTTGGGGGGTGGGGGATTTACTTTGAGACAGGGTTTTTCTGTGTAGCCCTGGCTGTCCTGTGTTGCACAAATCCTGAATGGTCTTATAATAAAAACCTGGAGCCAGATATTGGGGTAAATGCTGAAAGATCAGAGGAAACAAGCCACAGCCACTTCTCACCTCGCCAACTCCTCAGCCGATTACAGAAGATCCCGTCTCCACGAATCCTCAGACTGAATGCTTCTGAGTCCTCAGCCTGATGTTCGAATCTTAGATGATCTTTTAATTAAAAAAAAAAAAAAAAAACACCCAGAGCCAGATATCAGGGTGAAAGCTGAAAGATCAGAGAAGCAGAACAGCCAGCCACCAGTTCTTACCTCTACGAAATCCTCAGCCTAAAGAGAGTGAGTTCCTGTTTCCTCACGCTTTATATACCTTTTTCCACCCTGCCATATTACTTCCTGAGATTAAAGGCATGTGTGCTTCCCAAGCAAAGGCATGAGATCTCAAGTGCTGGGATTAAAGGTGTGTGCCACCACTGCCTGACCTCTATGTCTAATCTAGTGGCTGGCTCTGTCTTCTGATCCTCAGACAAGTTTATTAGGGTACACAATATATCACCACATCAGCCGAAAGGACCTAATTCCTGTCTCCTCACACCTTATACTCCTTTCTCTGCCCAGCCATATCACTTCCTGTCTCAGCCTTCCGAGTTGTGGGATTAAAGTTGTGTGACTCCCAAGTGCTAGAATTAAAGGTGTGTGCCATCGCCGGGCGGCGGTGGCGCACACCTTTAATCCCAGCACTCGGGAGGCAGAGCCAGGCGGATCTCTGTGAGTTCGAGGCCAGCCTGGGCTACCAAGTGAGTTCCAGGAGAGGCGCAAAGCTACACAGAGAAACCCTGTCTCGAAAAACCAAAAAAAAAAAAAAAAAAAAAAAAAAAAAAAGGTGTGTGCCATCACTGCCTGGCTGTTTCTCTTTTAAACTGGATTCATCTCATGTAGTCCAGAGTGGCTTTGAACTCGTAGAAATCCAGATGGATTTCTGCCTCCCAAGTGCTAGGATTAAAGCTGTGTGCCACCACTGCCTGACCTCTGTGGCTGGCTCTGTCCTCTGATCTTCAAGCAAGCTTTATTTTTTAGATTACAAATATATCACCACAGTCCTGGAACTCACTGTGTAGACCAGACTGGCCTCAAACCCAGAGATATACCTGCCTTTGCCTCCCAAGTGCTGGGATTAAAGGCATGAGCCACCTCAGCCCAGCTGTCTTCCATTTCTATCTACAAAAAACCTTATGAAATTTATGAGTTCCAGACTATTGTGTGTGTGTGTGTGTGTGTGTGTGTGTGTGTGTGTGTGTGTGTGTGTTGGAAAATAAAAAGAATCATGTGGCAGGACGGTAGATGTCAGTGTGGAGATGCATGAGGTTAGATCATGAAATACCTTGTACGGTTAGATTAGAATGACATTTTGAGTGTGGTTGGAAGCCACTAAATGATTTTGTATTACTTATTTCTTAATTTTTTTTTTTTTAGGTTTTTTGAGACAGGGTTTCTCTGTGTAGCTTTGCACCTTTCCTGGAACTCACTTGGTAGCCCAGGCTGGCCTTGAACTCGCAGAGATCCGCCTGGCTCTGCCTCCCGAGTGCTGGGATTGAAGGCGTGCGCCACCACCGCCCGGCTATTTCTTAATTTTTATGTGTGCACAATAGGGTGTGTTACATTGTATATTTGTGTTGTGTCTATGTATAGTGTAGTTGTTAGTGCATGCAGGTGTGCATGTGGGTGTGTGTGCACCTGTGTGCAGAGGGCAGCGTGTGCAGGTGTGCATGTGGGTGTGTGTGCACCTGTGTACAGAGGGCAGTGTGTGCAGGTGTGCATGTGGGTGTGTGTGCACCTGTGTGCAGAGGGCAGTGTGTACAGGTGTGCAGGTGGGTGTATGTGCACCTGTGTGTATAGAGTAGTGTGTGCAGCTGTGCATGTGGGTGGGTGTGCACCTGTGTGCAGAGGGCAGCATTGCTTGGTGTCTTTCCTCAACCGCTTACTTCCTTTATTTTTTTGAGACCAGTCTCCTTACTTAGCTAGATAAGCTGGCTGATGATCTCCAGAGATCCACCTGTCTCTGTCCCCTCAGCACATGTGTTACACAAGTGTGCCACCAAGACTTCCTTTTTACGTGGGTTCTGGGGATCTGAACTCAGGATCTCATGCTCATATGACACTCTCTTTACTGACTAAGCTATCTCCTCAGCCCTGGAAGCCACCAAATGGTTTCAAATGAGTTATTGAGACGATCTCATTTTCAAAGGATTATAGGTTATAAAGGGGAAATGAAATGGAGAAATCAAGAATGGAGGCCATACAACCGGTTAGGACACTGTCACAATAGGCCGGTAGAGAGGTCACAGCTGCAGGAAAACCTTCGAGTTTTTGTTCATTTGTTTTTAGGTTTGTGTTTTGGTATATGTGTCTGTATGTGTTTATGTGTTCATGCATGTACATGATGAAGTGTGGGGGGAAGGATGGGTGGGTCAGAAATCAATATTAGGTATCCTTTTCTATCATTTCCCACTTAAATTTTTGTTTGTTTGTTTGTTTTGTTTAGTTTGTTTTTTGAGACAGGGTTGCTCTGTATAACAGCTCTGGCTGTCCTAGAACTCACTCTGTAGCCCAGGCTGGCCTTGAACTCACAGAGATCCACCTGCCCCTGCCTCATGAGCCCTGGGATGAAAGGCGTGCGCCACCACTGCCCAGCTGAGAGAATGTTTCTCACTGAACTTGACAACACAGCTAGACTAGCTGGCCAGCAAGCTCTAGGCATTCCCCTGTCTCAGCCTCTCAACACTGGGACTAGAGATGCACCCTGCTGCACCAGTTTTTTACACAGATTGTGGGGATTTGAACTTGGGTCGTCATGCTT